CCAGTCTGGGCAACCGAGTGAGACTCCAACTCAAATAAATAAATAAATAAATAAATAAATAAATAAATAAATAAATAAATAAAATAAAAAATCATGTTAAGATTTTCCTAGCTATAATACTGCCATTTTGCATAATTACTGCCAAAAATATGGGCTTAGTCTTCAACTTGATAGTTTGTATGACCTTAAATAACCAGTGTTTTAATTTTTTATTATAACTTTTAGAAAATGGGACTGTTTACATGACTTATGATACTTTGGTGATAATGACATACCTTTGCTAGGGGGCTCTTAAAGTTTGATACAGCTTTCATTTAGCTTGTATGGTTACTCTTAAAAGCTTTCACTTAAAGCTAATTTTGTTTTCTATGTCATTTATTTTCTCTCAGGGAGGAGCAAAAAGCAATTCTGCCGGTAACTTCTTGCTTTAGCCAGCCACTCCCAGTGTCTGTTAGCAGTGCAAGTTGCCTCCCCATCACCACATCTGTTAGTGTTGGCAACCTCATTCTGAAAACTCACGTTATGTCTGAAGATAAAAATGACTTTTTAAAACCTGTTGCAAATGGGAAGATGGTTAACAGCTGAAAGGAGATTCATCTTTCAAATTTGTGACCACACCATGGAAGCATTTACACTAGCTTTTTATATATATAATATATATTATATAATGTATATTTTTTTTAAAAAAAGATATTACTGGGGGCATCCATTTCCTGTGGACTCTTTGATACTTCAAGCCCTCTTGCATTAGCATTATGAAAAAAAAAAAAGAAAATTTACTAGGGTAACATGTTCACTTTCCAGAAGTGATTGGAATTTGGACAACATTTAACTTAAGCTTCAAGCAGCTTTTTATGAGTTTGTAGCAATCCGGTGCAGTAACTGAGCCATTTCCTATTTTAAATGGCTTCTATAGAAAATTAACAACTCAGTTATTAAACTAGCAGGATCCTACAGTGATACATCTAGTGAAAGTAGACTTAATTAACTTATTTATTTCTTTTTTATGTTTCACTGAGAGAAGTTTCCATCTCATTCCAGCTGCTTTATTTATCTTTTTATGAGACTTTGCATGGATTTTTTTTTTCTGTTTTCTTTTTTTAATTTTGATGAGTGGAATTAGACATTCGTACCATAGAATTTTACAGGGTTATATACTAGCTTTATTTACTGCATTATATGTAGGAGTGTGGTGCAGTGCTTTTATCTGTAGCATTTAATTTTTAAAAAAATTTTCCATTTTTCAAGAATAGTTTCTGCTTTGTTAATATTTCTACACAGGCTACTTGTTGAAGTAATTAATTAAAAATATAACCAAGTGCCTAAGTCTTTCAGCTGATGTACTAGATATTAAATTCTCCTAAGTTATGCAGAATCGTTTTTACAATTTTGATAAATTATGCACTAATGTAATGGCAGTTTTTTAAAATGCAGATTTAAGCCTGTACATTATTGAATCTGATGACTTGGCAAAAGAATCAGGTGCTTTCAGCTTTCTTGAGAAAACCCTGTATGTAGCGTTTGCACTGACTAACAAGATGGTGTTGCTGGGTTTTTAATTTAAACTAATTAATTTGGATGTTCATTGCATTATCTTGGTTAAATATTGTTTACTGTTACTTCATGTTGGGATTTAATTTTTGTTATTTTTTGACTGTTAGGTTAGTAAGACTATGAACCATGTAATAATAGAACATTGGCTAACATTTATTCATACTTAAAAACATGAATACGTTCTGCTCTGCTAAAATGTGACTGAAATGGTTTTGACTTGACATCTGAAAGTATGCAGTATGTTCAACCAGCCATGCCTCAGATTTATGGAGAGTATTTTATTGAAATTGAAGTTTCAGTCAACATTTGAAAACAAAAGCTGAGCATTTCTTCATGGTGATCTTACCTATTGTTTATCTTTTTGTTTTTCCTCTATTTCTTTAAGATTAGTTTGACTATTATTATTTTTTTAATTAACTTCTGTGAAGTTGTTTACTCTGAAAATTGTACTGGAATATTTTAAGCCAAGCTGATCTTTCACCAGGTGTACTGTATGTAAGGGCTTTTCCTGCTAGCAAGATGCTTAAACAGGATCATGTTATTGGTCGTCTGAGCTATTTAGTTGTTTTACAAAACCACAGCATTGTATCAGATAAGATTTTGATAACAAGTTTTGTGCACATTTCCAGGGGTGGGAGGGTTGACATTTCCCTGAAATTTCTTGATCAGAATGAGTAAATACTGGTGTTTGATACCTGTCTTAATGAACATGCTCATAAGGTGACTGATAAGTTGTAAATATACCTGAGAAACAAAGGGGTAGTTTTGATATTCTGGTGTCAGTATGGAAGATCTTACACATTTATTTAATACTCAAGTATATGAAGATGTTTGTTTGTAGCATAACAGCACAGTAGCCTTGACTTAGTTTCCTTTGGTTAGTACTGTACCTTTTTGCCATGGCCAGTGCTCCCTATCCCTACAAAGACATTTTATTTATTTCACTCTGTAACCTGAAATGAATAGGAATAAGAGTTTTAAACCATGTTACATTAACTTATTTCTGACATTATAAATTAGCCTAGGATATTACAGGAACATGATTGTTATATAATTTATATCAGAACCTTTCTATAAATATGTGCTTATTACATTTGAAATGCTTCCAATGTACTTTATTTGCTGTTTGTAATTCCAAAAAGGATATGCAAACCAGTCTGTCTATTTCACGGATATTTAATAGTGAGATCTTCCATGTTGAAGGTAATGTATTTTTTTTTAAGATTTTAAAATTGCTATTTTGTTACAAAATAGAGACCTATTAACAGTTTGAGAGCTCCTTATGTGCCCTCAGGGAAAGAACCCTCTGTGCAACAGAACTACACAAAACATCTTCAGCACGTTCTGAGGGTGAATATATACTACATAAATTGATCTTGTGTATTTAACCTTATCTTTTTAATTTTAAAATTCAAATTTTGAAACTTGGTTGTGCTCTGCTGGAAGGGGTTGGGATAAACTGCTTAGATGTTTGCCTACTTGTCCAGTGAAATTACATTTGCATCAGTATATGTATATACCTGCCAATCTTATTGGTATGTCTCAGAACATTTATATTAAAATAATGCTTGTCTTGCAGCAGGTGATCCCATAAAACAATAATTTCCTGTTCTTAAAAACTTACTCTCTTTTCACTAACAACATAGGAATTCTTTCTGTATTGAGGTTATTCTGTATTACGTCCATTCTTTATATAGTGGCTACCTTCTCTCTATCACAGTGGGTTTAATGTGAAGTAAAGCCATTGATTCTCTGTCACTTTAGAGGCAAGGGCAGTTCATCTGATCCTTCTGAATGATACCTACTGATGTCATACAGGAAAATGTTAGAGATCAGACCTAGAATGTGACTTTTTAAAATTGGGTCATTTCCTGTCATTTGACCCTTTTACCAACAGGTTCTGATATACATGAGTTTGGAGTCAAAAGATACAAAGCAACAAGAGAGGAAATCTGTAATGTTGATAACTAAACTATATATGTTGCCAATTGTCTAATCAGAAAAAAGTAGTTTGAGGTCTGGAAAGCAGGAAAGTGATGGTTTTTCTTTCATTTTTTGTGTTTCTGTTTTTCAGTTTCTAAGTTTCAAGCCGAAGTCCATGTACCCCATTCAGTTTTGTAGCACTGGTAGTTCTTTTTTGTGGTCTCATTTCATTTATGAATTCTGAGAAAGTTAACATAAATACTTTTTGTAGTTAGTACCTGAATAAAGAAGATTCTCTTGCCTTTGCTACCATGACTTTGAATACCATGTGGTAAACCAGTTCTATGTGTGAAAGTTGTGCGTTGTAATTTTCAAAAGAGGATAGTTCATTAGATCAGTAACACCGATTTATTTTCACCAGTAGCGATTTATTCTAGTAAGAGAATAATAAAAGAAAGCTCTCATACCAGAACTGAAATATTTCATTTGTATGGATCTAGTCACTTTCACTTGGATTTCAAGTTAAGACCAATACATATATAAGACACATCCCAATTTTATACGCTGTCTTGAGAAAATTACAGCATACACAGCAATTTGTAGGGATTTAAAATGGGATTATTTTAAAAATTGTTTTAAGAACCATCTAGTTTGCTTTTATATTTTTAGATGTTAAAGCCCATGTTGTCTTGTTAACAGAAGTGGAATTTGTAACAATCAGATTCAGCATGTGTTTCCACTTTGAATCTGAGTATCGCTTCCCTAACTTTGAGAGCCATTTTCTGAGCAAACTGTCATCAGTATTGATAACTAAGCATTAAAGGGAAAAGTTGCAAAATTATATATTGATTTCCTGGAAGAACTTTTCTTGTGTTTTAGTGAACGGAGAGTGTTGATGGGATCACTTACTGTAACTCCTTCATAAGGACCCCTTCTGCAAGCAGAATACAAATGAACATGCTCAAGGAGTATGCCATTTTCTGAATAAATTGAATAAGTTTGCTAGTAACTCCTTTATACTAGCTGTATCTTTGTATTTCTTTGCTGGCAAGGGAATACAAGGACTCAAGGCCACATTTCAGAACACCCCACAGTTGAGTGGAGTTTTATTTTTACTCCAAGAGCAGTTATTCCCCCCAGGTCTGAAATTGGCAGTTTTTCTTTTTTTAGATAAAATTTTTGAAATATCACAAACCAGTGGAACATAGACACTGGCTGCACTTAGTACTGCCAAAAGCCAAGGTCATTTGCACATATTCCATCAATCTGTCAAGAATTAGGCCTCACTTTATAACCCAAGGCATGGAAGTGCATGCATTCTCTTAGCTGGGCAAACAATTATACTGTAGTTGTGATACAACACATGTGGCTTTTATTTGTACTGCACATATCCACTGTACAGCCACTTGGGAGTATCGTGGTTAGCTTGCAGCAACTGCTGTCTGCATTTATACTGTTTATTGCATATTCTTTTCCCTGGAGTGAAAGAGAAATGTTTTACTTGTTGCATTGATTACATTTTATAAATTTGCTTAGCTGGAAAGTTTGGGAAAAGAGGCCTGTTTGTCAATTGTACAACCGATTGTGAAGCTCTAGTGTGAATATTTTTACGTCTGTATTAGACATTTTCTTTGCAAATCTATTGTTCGATTGAAATGTAAATGAAATTAAAGATGGTGTACACCCATCATGTAAAAAGCAGGCACCATCTCTAAGATGGATTTAATGCTCATTTTTAAGGCATATACTCAGCTTCTATTTAAAACTATAATTTAAAATAATTCTGTACAATGAAATGGGGACTATATATGGGAATAAATTCTATTCCATTTATTTCAATTTGAATTACCAAATTGTAATGTTTCCCTTTGTGCTATAGGAATAGGATTAAATGGGGGAAGGCTAGGACTTATAAGGCCTATATATGGGGGGAGGGCAGAGATGGAACAATGAGGGTTGTGATGATAGTGAATAGCAAAGTGAATTCTGTGTGTTTTTGCTGTAGCACTGAAGTGAAGAGATAATAGCTTTGGCTGTTCACAAAATAGAGCATCATGATTTTCAGTGTTTGAGAGAAAAATTGATGGAAAAAGTTTGCAGTACTTGACATGTATTTGCATGCACAAAATAAAATTCTTTGTCCACCTTAAAAGTTGTTTGTTTAGTGTCAATATTAAGCTTATGGTATATTTTAGTTATTTTTATTTTTTGTATATTCTTTGGTTTAACAAAGCTACCAGGACACTCCTTAAGTTGAGATTTAAATGATTACCTACCTCATCCATGTATCACTGGGAAGGATCTGGAAGAAATGAATAGACCCAAGAAAGTTGAGATACTCCTTAATTCTATCAAGTAACTTCATTCATTCAATACAGAACACTTTATGGGAGATGAGGACAGAAATAATGCTGAGTTTTACAGTCCAGTGGAGAAAATGGACAGATATATAAATTACTAATATAAAGCAATTGTATCATAGAAGTATGAAGACAATTTTGTGGACCTCAAAATATGAATAGAGAATGACCTGAATGGATCTAGACACCATTTTCATTGAGGCTTGAATGGTTTTATTCATTCACTCAGCTGATATATTTTAAGCTCCTGTCTGTGCTGGTCAGTAAGGTTAAAGGTCAATGAAGAGTGAACCTCTTCTCTGGAAACTCAAAGTGTGGAAAATGGGAAAGGCAAATTTAAATAATTTAGTGAGCTCTGTTCTAATATACAGTGCATGGAAACTTCTTATGGGCTAGTGGTAGTGATGAGCCAGAGGAAGAAATCTGAAATGACCTCTGGCTAGACTTTGTAGGCTGCATAACATTTCACCAAGCAGAGATAGGAGGAGGAAGCACCGTGAGTTCCTATTCTACCTGCACAACAACCCACTCAGGCTTAACAACCATCCTTCACTACAGATAAGTAACCCATATTTAATATTTGAGATGTTATAAAACTTGCCCAAAATCTCAACTACAAAATAGTGGAGTCAGAATTCTGATGCAAGTCTACCATCTTTCTTCATCCCAAGCAGGTGGTGGTGGTTGAGATCTATTTTATAAAGCCACTGTATTTAAGTATCATAGTGGAAGGGAATGTTTAAGGTGGTTGAAACCACCTTAAGGGAATGTTTAAGGAACAGTGACTCATTGAGTAATAATATAAATACCCAACTCTTAGAACACTAAATATGTTCCAGACACCATTCTAAGTGCAATACATATAACGTAGGACCATAAAACTGAGGCAGAGACCTTAGAGAATTTGCCCAAGATCACACAGCTAGAGGAGGTACGGTTGGAACTTCTATGACGGGCATTGACTACCATACTAAAGAGAATACTAGGGAGTGTTGGAAGTTAGATAATCTGATCAGATTGGGATTTAAGGAAAATCACTTTGGCAGTTGTGTGAAAGGTGAAACAAGATAGACCTGAAGGGAGGCCAGGGTAACAATCTAAGAAGTGTTGAGAGCATGTCTATTAGACATCTACACATTTTAGGGGATTAAGTTTGGTTTACAATCCCAGACCCCATTACTGAGAATAGACCAATATTTGTAAAACATGTAATCTTATATCTGCCCTGAAGTAAGTGACAATGGAGATCAGGAAGGAGGAAGAGGAGGAAGAAGCATGGATAGGTTATCTAGGCAATGAAGAGAAAACTTAATGAAAATGAAATTCCAGGGAGATGTTATTTTCTTTATAATACCTATTGAAATAATTTTCATGCACATTAACAAAGTATCCCAGATGTCCATGGGATATCTTCATGACTAGATCTTTCGCTTTCTTCAGGCCTTCACTCAAAAGTCTACCCCAGGCCAGGCATGGTGGCTCAGGCCTTTAATTCTAGCATTTAGGGAGGCCAAGACCAGCGGATTGCTTGAACCTACAAGTCAAGACCAGCCTAAGCAACATAGCAATACCTTGTCTCCACAAGGAAAAAAAAAAACAAACTAGCTAGGTATGGTGGTATGCACCTGTAATGCCAGCTACTCAGAAGACAGGTGGAAGCATCCCCTGAGCCCGGGCAGCTCTGGTGAGCGGTAAGCATGCCACTACACTCCAGCCAGGGAGACAGGGAGACTCTGACTAAAAAAAAAAAAAGTCAATCCCGGTGAAAATAAGACGGAAATTAAGGCGGATGGGGGGAGGGTGGGGAGTGGGGAAGCATGCCATGTAAAATAGATTAAACCCAAGGTCCTAGATAAGATTAAAGTATTTTTTAAACTGTATTTGAAATAATCATAGATTCACAGTAAGTTGCAAACCTAATACATGTTCCCTTCATACAGTTTCTCCAATGGTGGCATCTTATATATAACTACAGTATAATATCAAAGCCAAGTAATTAACATTGCTACAATCCACAGACCTTATTGAGATTTCACCAGCTTAATATGTACTCATTTGCAAACCTGTGTGTATATGTGTGTGTCTGTGTGACTATGCAGTTTTCTCACATGTAGATTTGTGGAACAACCACTGCTATCAGGATGACAAAACTGTTCCATCTCCTCAGTGATTCTTCATGTTACCCCTTAATATTCACATCCATTTTCCTCCCTTACCCTCATTCTACCTTTTTTAAAATTCTGCCATTCCTAAACTCTAGCAACCAACTAATCTGTTCTCCATATTTGTAATTTTGTCATTTTGAGAAGTTATATCACTCAAATTATACCATATGTAGCCTTTTTGAGATTGGCTTTTTTTTTTTCCATTCAGCATCATTCCTTTGAGACCCATCCAAATGGTTGCATGTACAAATAGTTTTTCCTTTATATTACTGACTAGTACATGATATGGATGTACCATAGTTTGTTTAACCGTTAACCCACTGAAGATCATTTGGGTTATTTCAAATTTGGGGCTTATTTTTTTTTTTCAAGTTGAAGTCTCACTCTTGCCCAGGCTGGAGGGCAGTGGCATGCTCACCGCCATGGCAGCCTCAAGCAATCCTTTTGCGTCAGCCTTCCAAGTAGCTGAAGCTACAGGCATGCACCACCATACCCGGCTAAATTTTTGATTTATTATAGAGGTGAGCTCTCGCCAAGTTGCCCAGACTGGTCTTGAACCCATGAGCTCAGGCAATCTTCTCACCTCAGCCTCCCAAAGTGCTGCGATTATAGGTGTGAGCCACCGTGCCTGGCCTAATTTTTGGCTATTACAAATAAAGTTGTTAAGAACATTTGTGTATGTGTTTTTTTGTGGACATAACTTTTTATTTCCCAAGTATTTTTGAGTAAATTGGTATTCCTACCTATGAAGGAAATTAATGCATTAGACTATAAGGTGTTTCCTTAGAAATTAACAAATTCGGGCCGGGCGTGGTGGCTCAGGCCTGTAATCTCAGCACTTTGGGAGGCTGAGGTGAGAGGATTGCCTGAGCCTACGGGTCAAGACCTGCCTGGGCAACTTGGTGAGACCTCATCTCTACAATAAATCAAAAAATTAGCTGGGTGTGGTGGCACATGCTTATACTTCCAGCTACTTGGAAGGCTGAGGCGGAAGGATCGCCTAAGCCCAGCAGGTCAAAGCTGCAGTGGCCCGGAGTGTGCCTCTGCCCTCCAGCCTGGGTGACAGAGTGAGACTCCTACTAAAAATAAAAAAAAGAAATTAGCAAATTTCTTTAAAATGCCTTTTACTAAAATAGAAACAAGATGAAAAGGAAAATTGGAATAACCCTTGTATTAGTTATCTATTGTTGTAACAAGTTACCTAAAACTTAGGGTCTTACCAAAAAGTTTATTACTTTACAATTTCTGTAGATCAGAAATCTGTATGTGACTTAAATGAATACTCTGTTTTAGGGTCTTACAGACTGCATTCTAGGTGTTGGCTGGCACTGCAGTCATCTCATGGCTCAACTGGGGAAGGATATGCTTCCAAACTCTTGCCTATGATTGTTGGCAGGATTCATTCAGTACCTTATTAACTGTTGGAATCCAGGTCTCAGTTTTTGTTTGCTCTTTGCAAAGAGGCTACTGTTAGTTTCTTGCCACTTGAGCCTCTGTGTTGGGCAGCTCACAATGTGGTACATTGACTTATCCAGTCAGGAAGCCAGATCAGCCAGAGAGCTAAAAAGAAGTCACAATCTTTTATAACCTAATCTGGGGAGCAAGATACCATCACTTTTGTGGTATTCTAATCCTTAGAAGCAAATCACTAGGTCAAGTCCACAGGAAGGGTATTGGCAGGGTGTAATGGCTCAAACCTGTAATCCCTGCACTTTGGGAGGGCAAGGTGGGAGGATCACTTAAGGCCAGTAGTTTGAGACCAGCCTGGGCAACACAGTGAGAACCCTGTCTCTACAAATAAAAATTTTAAAATTAGTTGTGGTGCATGCCTGTAGTCCTAGTTACTCGGGAGGCTGAGGTAGGAAGATCGCTTAAGTTTCAGGAGTTCAAGGTTGCAGTGAGCCAAGATCATGCCACTGCACTCCAGCCTGGGCCACATAGTGAGACCCCTGTCTCTTAAAAAAGGCAGGGGAGGGAAGGATTACAGAGGGCACAAATACCAGGAGGTGGGGATCCTTGGGAGCAGTAACAGTCTGTCTAGTCAGGAGATAGAAACCACACATTGGGTCATATGGGGAAAAGTTTAGTATAAAGAATCATAGGGCTAGGTTCGGTGGCTCAGCCTGTAATCCCAGCACTTTGGGAGGCCAAGGCGAGTGGATTGCCTGAGCCCGCAGGTTCAAGACCAGCTCGGGCAACTTGGCGAACCTTGTCTCTACAAAAAAAATTAAAATAAAAAATTAGCCTGGGCATGGTAGCGCACGCCCATAGTTCCAGCTATTTGGAAGACTGAGGTGGAAGGATCGCTGGAGCCCAGTACGTCAGCGCTGGGGTGACCATGAGTGTGCCATTGCACTCCAGCCTGGGTGACAGAGTGAGACTCCAACTCAAAAATAAAAAATAAAAAGAATCATTATAGTGACTCATGCTTGTAATCTCAGCATGAGATTGAGAGACTGAGGCAGGAGGATGACTTGAGCCCAGGAGTTTGATTCCAACCTAAACATAGCAAGACCACATCTGTGTGTACACACACACACACACACACACACACACACACACACACACACACATTAGCTGGACTTTGGAAGGCCGAGGTGAGAGGACCGCCTGAGCCCATGGGTTCA